GATTGCTGACCGTACACCCTAAACGGCCCCGGCCCAAAACCCAATGCCCCAAACCCTATGAACCCTAAACCCTATACACCCTATAAGCCCTCAGCCCTATATAAACCCTATACACCCTATAAACCATAAACCGATATTTCATGAGCCACAGGGGACTGGAGGCTCTGGCCTTGCAAAAGCTTCACTCTTTCAGGGTGCGCGAATCATGGTCCAGATGAATTCGGGCGTAGGATATATAGATATATACATATATATATATGGTTTAGGGTTTATAGGGCTCAGGGTTTATATGGTTTAGAGCTTATAGGGTTTAGGGTTCATAGGGTTTAGGGCTTATAGGGTTTGGGGCTTTTATGTCTTGGACGAGGTCATGCAATGAGTTTTCGGCAGCGCGGTTGCTATACTGCTATGCCACAAGCAGGGACGCCCACGCTTTCCGAGCTAAGAATTAAGAGTCCGGTTCGTGGGGAGTTGCAGCAGCAATGACCCTTTCAGGTCCTGGAGGGGATGTTGCATACGTCCCTTACCTTAGCAGCCTAACACCCGCACCGGGGCGGGTGCCCTTGTTCCAGCTTCTCTGTTGCGAAGTGGCCAGAAGATGATAATTGCAACGACCTATAGGCTTCGGTTGACTGGTTGACTTAATGGGTTTGGGGGACATCAGGCACCATCGCAAGACTCGCATCTCAGCAGCTGTTTGTCCACGCGCTGGTTCTTTGCAATCGATACGATCTCACAATCGCTTAAATCCAGGGCAGCATGGTCGTTCCCGGAACTTCCAAATCCACTTACAGCCACATTGCGCCTAGCAGTTACGCACTCTAGTGGACGGCCGGTCATTCCTTAGACGTACTTTGGGAGACTCAGGTGGGCTACGGTTTAGGGAATCCAAGGGTGAGCAAAGTTTTCGATTCAAGCATTAGCAGGTTCCCGCATGCAGAGCTGCAAGAGTGCACCCTGCAGAATGCGGAACAGGTTGGGGATATGCAATGCTGGACTCCTCTCAGATCACATGCAACAGTACTGATATCAACAACATGTGACTGCAGCTCCAACAACAATACGGATCTACTGTGGCGATTCGGAAAGTTTCACTGGCTTTTGGGAGATCCGGTTTGCTCCACACTCTCCTGTGTCAGTGGCTGCAGAACAAGTACAAACCCGGAACCCCAAAATGCCCGCAAAACCTCAGTGTCGCTCTCTGATATCCCAAACCACAAGCATTGATTGTACCTTAAGCTGTTGCTCTGCGAAGCAAGAGCTAGATGATGAGATCGAGAACTGCAGCAGTGATTGATTTAATCAGTTCAGACTCTCTCTCTCTCTCTATATATATATATATATCTATAAACGAACTATAATACAGACTAGAATCTTGTTGTCATCGGGCTGTAGCGCACGCGCTGTTGTTTTTGCTTGTGGTGCTCGTCCTGGTCATGGTAGTGGCGATGACAGGGATGATCGTCCTGGTCTGGCTCTGTTTCTTGATCCCTGTTGTACTTGTCACTAAATGCTGCTGTCGATGATGCAGGTGTCGTTGTCGGCCGGAGGGAGATTGCTCCTGTTGTTCTCTACAGTTCCTCTTTTCGCTCAACTCGAAGCACTCTCGTCGTAGTCCTGGTGGGCAGAAGCATGCCTTTCGCAAATGTCCAGCTAAGTGTAACGGTTGTATGCATGCGAGCCATGCCAAGTTTTTCTGCTGCTGCGAGGGCGATGCTCAGAAGGGTGCCTGCGACGCCGACAACGAGCATGATGCGGGCTAGACTTTCGTTTATGATGCTGATGATGGGGATTTGGCAGCGATGATGCTGATGGTGATGCTCGGACAGCTATGAAGGTGATGTTGGATGGTGACAACGTATGTGTGCTAGTCAGAAGACCAAAGCCCGAAGGCTGAACGCTACAAAGGCCCTGCCTACACCCTGAAACCCTGCAGCCTAAACCCTTATGCCCCAAACCCACCCTAAACCCTAAAATCCAAAACCCAAAACCCTAAAACCTTCACAAGCCGGGTCAAAGTCAATGGAAGTCTTGAGCAAGTCCCTGGACCTTGGCATACCGGGCGCTTTGCAAAGGCAGCTTTTTGCTTTGAAGGTCTTGTTAATGTAGGGGCCTTAATAACTAGAATAGGGTTTTGGGGTATATGATACTATATTTAGAGTAATCATGTAGGGGCCTTAATATTTAGAATAGGGTTTGGGGGTATTGTATACTATAAACCCCCAAAACAGAACTGGTCATTATTTACGCCCCTACATTACTTGTTAGTTCTGGATTTTGTGGGTCTTGGGTTTCGACTCTCACGCTTGGGTTTGGAACCCAGGTCCTCAATTCCCTATGTCTCAAGCCCACCGCGCTTAAACTTAACCTCCCTGACTCAAGGCCTTGGCTATAGAAGCCATCACACCAGAACCTATGCCCCGGATGCGTAGGACGACTACTGCGGCTTGAGGGCTTCAGGGTTCAGGTATCAGTGTCTTTGGGGGTTTAGTTTAGGGCTTTCGGCTTAGGACACGGGTTTTAGGACATTAGGCAGCCGAGGTTTCGGTTTACGATTTAGGGTCTACGGGTTACGATGTGCGACATGAGGTCCCAAACATCTAGCCCAACGCAAACCTCTGAACCGCGAACCCGAGTCCCCTCAAAGCAACAAGAACTGAACACAGTAGGCCTCGGCTTTTTGAATACATGTTGGGGTTTAGGGTGTAAGGCTCAGGCTTGAGAGCTTATCGTTCTGCAAACCCTGAATACCTTCGGTGTTCTTAGGATGTGACGCCCGTGGCAGTGTAACGCCTGCACAGCCAATGCAGGGCAAGCTGGTGAACTGAAGGAGCAGGAAGTGTCTCCAGGTATGGAATCAGAATATTTTTTCCCGTAGTATTGTATAAATCCTGATTCTTAGCATTCCCAAACACATACAACCTGGCTTTCAGTGGGCATTCATGGGTTCGACCCACATTCAAGGATGTTTAACACATTTAAGTTGGGTGCCTTTCTGTGGCTACACCCTAGGCCCTACCCCCCAAGTTGAGACTGATGAGAGGCTGAGAAAATCTCTGCTTCGGTATGACAGCATCAGCGGGTTCCAACGACTAGGGAAACCCAATAAGCCCTAAACCCTGTTGGGGCCCCCTGTCGTCCGAAACTTCCATCTGACAGCAAGTTAAACCATTCTTTTCGAGCCTGGGATCTACATACATGGCCTCAGCCTTGTAAGTGTCCGAACGGAACAAACCTCAAGCCGAAACTCCTTCCAATTTTGCAACTCCGCGGGCGTATGCTATGTAACAGCCCACTGAACTTCTTGAGCGGTACAGTCGAAACCTAGACCTTACAAGCCCTGAAGCCGAAATCCTGAAACCTGGCTTTGGGGTTTAGGAGCTCCAACCAACAAGCTGCCAAAAGAATTACAGTTTACAGCCCTAGACGATAGTTCTCTAAACGTGGCATCCCTGACCCGATGGTCTTGCCGTAACCTGCTGTCTGCCATGAGATCATACGCCGGGGTGTTTCTTAGGTTGTCTTCTCACAACCTGCCTTGCCATGAAACACCGAAGCTCTTATATCAAATTTGCATATCTTACTCACATGCGGCGCAACATAGGCGAGACAGAGACAGAGCGAGAGAGAGAGAGAGAGATGTGTGTGTATGCAAATATACGCGCGTGCATACATATATCTACATGCATCGAGACTTTGTGATAGTTGTAGGTGATATGTGTGTGTGTATATATATATATATGTTCCCGTATCTTGTTGAGTTCTTGGTTGTTTGTTTATCCAAGCTTCCAAGTCATATGCAAGCAAGGAAGGCCACTCCGTCCTTCTAGACCCGACGCATAGGCCCCATAGTAGTTCCTTTGTGGGATTACTTTACAGGGTTCTAAATATGAACCCCCCAAAAAGGAACTACTATGGGGCCTATGGGGAAAGCATGCCTTTCCCGCGTCCAGCTTTCCCCACTCGGGAGTTTCCGCAGTCGGAGGTGAGCTCAGGTGGCTCGTGCTGCATGCTCCTATGTACAGTATCTGACATACCAGTGGACTGCTGCAAAGGGGCCTGGAGTGTTGGAACATTCTGTAAAGGCTAGAGAGCACCAGTGCAGTTCAGGGTTTAGGCTTCCAATTTGGGGAGTCTCTCACTGTCACGGATCTGAAGATTAGTGGGGATCCCATCTTCCTTGTTTCGAACCTTCCCTGTTGGGGTCATCCAGGAGGTCCTGCTTTTCGCATCAAGTATAGGGGCCTTAGTGAATAGGGCTACACTACAATGTTGTGACCCTTGTACTGGTGTCTCAATTACGTCCTGTTCGAGGTTAGGTTTCTCTTGGTCCGGTCCTAGTTGCGGGCCTTGAACTTTGGCGTGCCTCTTGTTTTGTAGAGGGCTTCAACCCTTTGGCCCATGCAAGCCCATTACCTCCGGAATCGGCAACCCTGCAGCCGTTTTCACAACAGTCTCATCTGTCCAAACCCTATACCATACCTTTCTAAACCCGTAACCCCGATTATGTACATTTACTTTGGCCTGAAGTTGCACCCAAATCCCGAAACTCACACGGAACCATTGCCCTTCATTATGTCTAGGCTACGGCTTAACAACATCTTCAGCACACACGCACAGACAAACAGACAACTGGGAGGCTCCATCTTCGCTGCTCCAAACCCGAAAGCCCCAAAATCCTGAACCCCCCTAAACCCTGGGTTTAGGGTTTAGGGTTTAGGGAGTTTAGGGAAAGTCCTGAACCCCGTAAACCCTTTTCTACACAGGCTTGGTTACTGCTCGCCCGGCCAGATTTCCCGCAGCACATCGCACTAAACCCCAAACCCTAAAACCCAAAGCTAAGACTCCTAGACTTATGGTCACTTCGCCGCCCTTAGAATCAGAATTACAAAACCTATTCTTATTAATCCCCTGGAATTATATATATGTATATATCTAAGCAAAAATTAAAATAGTTTTAAACTGAAAAAATCCAAGAGCAGTAAAGGTCAAGGCCCGGCTCACTCCGGCGCCACTTTGGCCTCAGAGCAGACGCTTCGGGCTTTCTTTCGACCAGGTTGAGGTTGCCACACAAGGCTTAATAGATCGGCTATAAGCTTTGTAGGCTGTTCCCTAAACCCCTAAGCCCCTAAACCCTATTGTATGTAAACGCGTGGACGCTGCTTCGGGTTGCGGTTGTTGGGCTCCGGTTTTTAGAGCTTTTTTCTGTTTCGAGCTTCCGCTTCGGTTCCGGTCCGGGATTCAGCTTGAACTGCCTCAAACGCTCCAAACCTGACATCACCAAACCCTCATGAATACACCCTGAACCCTAAATGCCCAAGACCCAAAATCCTAAATCTTAAGCCCAATCCTCAAACCCTAGCATCCCCCAGCCCTAAACCCGCAGACGCCAACCTCAGAATGAACGAAAGCTGAGACTCTTCCGGAAAAGTGAATCTCGGTGATTGCTCCACCGGAATGCGAAATTCACGGTATGCGATCACCTGGGGTCGGGCTCCGGAGTGCCAGGGTTAGGGCTGCAGAATTTGAGGCTTTTTGGCCTAGTGCTTTCGGTTTCGGAGCTTGTCGGAAGTATGGGGTGTCCAGACTTGGATCGTTGACCTCACGGCCGAGAACACGTAAACAGCATGCCACTGGTGTAAGGCCGAGTGCTCTTCTGCAGACCCGGGTGTAAATGGGAAAGGTGAGCACTCTTCTGTGGATGGTGGTGGAAGCGGCCACGGTCGGGCTTGAGCTTAGGGTAAAGGGCCGGAAGCAACACCTGAAGCCCTAAACCCTAAACAAAATACCTGCATCCTAAACTAACAAGAGCGAAGCTCCGGAGTTCCTTGGAATACTTCGCTTGAATGGGTGAAAGGCTTGAATGCGGACCCGGCTTCAAGGCACGGCTGATTTAGCAAGTCTACTTCATTCATGCTTGAGGACCATGCAACAAGGTACAGCACCGGCCCAGCTGCAAACTAGCCTGCAAGCAAGTGCAAACTTACAACCCACACGTATTTGTCGTCCCCGTTCCGCTCGCTGTCGCTCTCTCGCTGGATCTCTCTCCATCTCTCTCCCGTATAAGTATGTGTAAAGGTTTACTTTTCATTATCAAGCGGACGCGAGCGCGCGCGTGCGTGTGTGTGTGTATACGCCTGTCTGCATGCATGCATATGTACCGGGGCATGTCCAAATTCAAGGTGGCATTCACCAGCACAGGTATTGATGTTGGCTAAAAAAGGGTGGAACCTTCCTCACTTCAGGCTGCAACTTCTTCGATGCTGCTCATATTGTCCCACACGGAGAATGCGGTTGAAGCAATCCCCCGCACAAGTTCACCAGTCCCAAAGAGAAAGTCCTTCATCAACTGTCGAAGACACACCCGACATCCGAAGCCCTGCTCACAGCGGGCCTTGGGCCTGATCTAGAGGGAGCCAATGAGATGCCGACCAAGTGAAGGAAAACTAAGTGACCATGGATCGTAAACCCTCAACTCCAAACAGGATTCTAGAGGGAAACTACCGGCCCTCGCAATCCAGGTCACAGCATACACAATGTTGAAGAGCAGGCAAAGGCCACTAAACACTGCAGCCGCCTGAGATTGCAGGGTTAGAGCTTGGCCTGACCTTTAATAAACGAGTTTATGTGTTGCCTCAGCGAGCCAATCCGATTGCACAAGGAACACCTCTGAATTGAACAGAGCTGTTTTCACGAAACCCCTCAAAAAACGTGATTTGTCTGGGCTGAGTGAACGTAGACTGAACGACAACTACACCGTCTGTCAGCTCCAACGCAACCGTTCCAACTGTCAAGGCATGCGCTGCCATTTGTTGCAGCTGGTGCGGTAAGCCTGGCTTAGTCCGAACAGTGAACCCTTTCAGTATTTGATGAAATATGTTGACTTCCTGAAATCGAAGATATGCTCTGCCACGAAATCATCCCAAGTTTCGGGTCCGGTTCAGCAGGTCTTGTTGTCGGATGGGTGATCTTCGGACTTGCAGGGCCGAAGGACCAGGCCTGTATGTGTATGCTGTTAGTATCTTGTAGGGGTCGCTCCGATTTGGGGATCCACTATGGCCACTATGGTGGCTGCAAGCGAGCCTTGCGCCCCGCAGATCTGGTTGCCACCCGCAGAAAGCCCACCTCCCTTCAGCTTTGGGGTTGCAGGGAAAGCTCGGCCAGCTGGGGTGTCGACTCGGGCACAGCCCATCTTCAGCTAACCTAACCCAGTGAAGAGCCGCAAACGATAAGGGGAACAAAACTAGTCAAGGGGCACGAAGCTGCTGCAGCATCTCCTTCTGAAGTATGAGGCACCAGGCTTATCAGCAAACTCACTTGAAGAGTTGCGACTTTGCTGCACTGGAGTTTGAAGGCTCGAGGTCGCAGTTTCTCATTAGAGCCCACAGCCAGGACATGCCACCCAGCCTCATGCTTGCTTCTTCGACACTTGTGTTCTCGACGGTTGGCAATAAGTAACCAAGGAAATAAAAGCCTCGATGCCAGAAGTCCAAGCGCTCTACTGTCAACCTGATTCCTCAAGCTTCGCTGATTAAATGACAAACCGGAAGACCTAAACTCTATATACTTCACGTAGTAGTTAATAATATACTGCAGCATATTACAGCCTGTTGGATTGCGTCAGGGTTAAATCAGGGTTAAATCATATACATGTTAGTATACTATAACACCCTAAACCCTAAACCAGAGCATGCAACAACATGTTGTACTATTCCCGAGAACCGTCTCCTCGGGCAGGAGAACGATCAGCAAAGCCGCAGCCGTGAGGAACAAGAAGCTGACCTCAACGTTGAGAGGCGGCTCCTAGGATTCTCGGGCCTGGAGCTTAGATAGATAGTTAAATAGATAGATAGATAGATAAATAGATAGATAGACACAGAGGTAGATAGATAGACAGATAGATAGATAGATAGATAGATAGGTAGACAGATAGACAGGTAGATAGATAGATAGATAGATAGATAGATACTAATCTACCAGTTTTAGGCTGCATTACATGAGGTGTACAGCGGCTCTTTGAGGATTCAATGTTCCTTTCTCCTCGATAGAAATCTGGAATGTGCTCAACAGGCGCTTCTGCCCATGGCTCCTGCTTTTGATTTCCGGAAACCCTATGCCCTCATTGCCTTAGTATGATATATGAGGGTTTAGGGTTTAGGGGTTTAGGGTTTAGGGTTTATATTCCATACCCGGACCCAAACACCCTAAGCAATCTTTATGCTTCCTCCTGTCTGCTGCCAATCCGGCTACAGCCAAGGCTAGCGTCACGCCGAACCCTTACAGTGGCTGGCCGGGGAGTGCACACCTTTTACTACTCCCACGACCATTAAGCTGTAAGTTTCGGGCTATGGTTCAAGGCTTCAGGTTACGACGAGGATAACAACCAAAGGGCGTGAACAAAGAACCCATCTTTCCGGGTATGCTCCTATGGTTCTGGTGAGAAAGCAATCAGCGCTGCTTCTTGAACTCGCGGTTGCATTTAGATGGTTAGGGCTTGCGACTGTCTTTGCACCAGGCCAAGACAGCAGGCATGCAGAACAACAGGATCACAAAGCCCGAGAACACAAGAGTCGGTTGTGGCGAAGGTGCAGCGATGTAGGTGTCAAGCATGGTGAGGTAGCCCAGCTTCGGCACACTCTCCTTAGATGCTGCGCCTAAGCCCATAAACCCTTGTGCAGCTGGGCTTTGAGTGCCAGAATCCCTAAACCCTAAACTCTGAAACCGTAAACCCCTTGAACGCTGAAACCTTAAACCCTGAACACTGTAGGCTGTCAGTGTGTCGTGATACATCTGGGGAGAGTCTATCCTTGTGCTCGCGACAGGGCATATGGGGGCTTCGTAACATTGGAGATGCCTTGCGTATAGGCGTATAGAGAGAGTCCTAAATGTCAGGATCCGATTGTTTAGGGTCGGTCCCGGAGTTTGGTGAAGCTTGCACGCAAGTCTCACATCATCTTTACACCCGAAATTCTGGTATTGTATTGTGATACTACTCAGGAACATGTCCATCTTCAGCAGAGTAGCAACTGTTCGGTGCTTGGGCGTCCAGGGTGCTAGTAGAAACCCTAACTGAACTGAGCACTATAAGCCCTAAGCCCGCAATGGCGTCCGATGCCGAAGCCGGGTACGACCGAAAACAGTGTCAGCTGTCCTTACAACCTAGAAACGAACTACCAACACATCAGGATCCGAAGGTTTCCACTCGGCTGCCTGCAAGGTGATGGAATGTTGAAAAGAACATCAGCGGTGGCTCAGTGTAGGAGAACTTCATAGCGACCATGGTCAGCATCAGTCCGGCGACGAGGGACAACGGAGACTCACCTTCCACAAGGAGCGAGGCAGGCGAGAAGCCCCCAGTCTCTTGGGTGTTGTGTCAGATCCAAGCAAAGCACACCTAGTTTGTCATATGGGTTTAGGGTTTAGGTGTCGCTCCAAATCAAATGTGTTGTCAACAGCTGGGCTTTGATGTTTTGACATGTCCTGCACACTTGCGGCTTCAGAAAGGTATATGCGTGTCTATGCATACAGTACATATTTGCACATTTATAATCATGTATATATATATATATACACATATCATAGCGTGTATGTCTTTATGTACAGAATTGGAAATGAACAAGTATGTTTTACACAGCCTGGCAAACGTGCCTGGTAAGTTGCTGCGAGACCTTTCTAGCTGTGTCTAAGACATCGCCGTAGAAGCCTTCACCAATCAAGGGCAACATCATACATCCTATCAACAACTGAACCAAGAGCTTCTATGTGCTAAAGGTACACGGTTTGCTTGGCGGACTTAACCCTCCAAGCTTAAGACCCTAAACCTGGACCTGCGGGGTCTGCGGTTCAAGTCCAGGAGTCTCGCTCACTTTCTGCCTGCAGTCTTAAGACGACTTGCGCTGGAAGTCTGCAGGAACTTCTTCTCCGAGCTTACAGTGCACGTAGCTCCGTAACTCCAAACAAAACTATGCATGTTGGGTCATGGTCCAAACGGCGAGCCTGCCTCCCAAGACGATGCCATTGGGTGCCTCGCCCGATGCGATGAGGATTGCACCTCGAACATGTCTCACAGCTCGTTCGGATGTAGCAGGTAGCCACTTCGAGTGTGCACTGTTCCGGTCTGAGGGCTCCGGCTGTTCTGGGTGATTGGAACCCTCGCGCGTTGGGGTGCCACCATGAAGTACACAGCTTTACAAGCTCGTGCAGCACGAGGGCTGGCAAGATGAATTGAGACCCGGATCCATGACCTGATTGATGCCGCCTCATAACTCCCACACCCGTCGAGCTTAAGGTTTATGGGTTTAGGGTTTAGTCTCACACCCATGGAGACCTAAGCTAAAAGACATCCGAAGAAGATGGTCAAAAATCCCTGAACCCTCATCAACTTCCCTTACCCAAGCCCTTAAAGCCTTGGACTCTTGGGGCCTGGGGGCTTTCGGATCGGAACTTCTTTAGTTGCCAGGAAGTAGGAACCAAATGTGGAGTGTACTCAAGCCTCGACGCTAGGCAAATTAAAACGATAATGGCGCGAGTCCTTTGTTTCAGTTAAGTGCACAAATGTGCACGTGAATATTGAAAGGCAAAGCTGTAGTGTACGACCCAACTGCCAGCAATAATCGAAAACAGGAGGAAGTCACAAGCGCAGCGAGCGAATAAGCCAGCACACGATTCTGCCGTCTGGCTCGTATTATTGTTTGGGCCTTCTCCGAAAAGGACATCTTTCGCCTCGAAGTTGCAACCCAGACCATGCTTTGGTGAGTTGAAATACAAGAAAAGCCGCCGAATACATCGACAACACCACGAGAAAGCACAAACGAGAAGTGGCTTACGCTTGTAATGCGCTCGCAGAGTTCTGTGAGCACAGGTAGCAATGGATCTCGATCATCAGGAAACTAATCTTTATTAAGGGCAAGTGGCTGGCACCCATGAAGGTCACCACAGCAGTGGGGAACAGTAAAGCCACGATGAAGTAGAAGGGCTTTCGGCGGACCTGATTCTGGGTCTAACATAAAGGGTCTTTGTTTAGCAGAAAAGAGTATAATAGACAATTATACAGCCACTATAAAAAGGGGGCTCTGAGCACATTCTTGCCATTATTCAGACCCCTATAGGACCCCGTGGTACTCAAGTCCTTGAACAGTGAACGATTTGTTCCAAAGCTCCAAGCGAAGCAACAGTTCAGTTCGGGCAGATGACAGGCTTTCAAACTGAACCCTCAAACCCGAACCCTGAAACCTAGACCCTAAACCCTATAAACTTTAAGCCTCCTAAACCCTAAACCCTGAACCCCAAGGATCCCCCCGCAAGCAAGACGACAGAGGTTATATGGGCGGGGTGGGGGCAGAACTGGAGCTCTGCTCGGGCGGTTTCGGCTGCGGCATTGCGCAATCTCTTGAGCTTGAAACTGGGTTGAGGTCTTGGATTTAGCCTTTGGGATTTGTAGGGTTTAGGGTTGTATGCCACCTGTTGATCTGATGGTTGTGGGTGTATAAAGCCTCCAGGATCTGCTGAGGCCAGGTGGAGTTTCGCCACCTATCACGACAGTAAACACTGTAAACACTACTGTGTCCTAAGACCCTGAACCCTAAACCTCACCACGACCTAGAACCGTAATCCATGCTAAAAGCTATAAGACGCTATCCCTAAACCCTAGACTCTACTATAACCCTAAACCCCTAAACCCCTAAACCCCTCACCCCTAAACCCTAAACCCTAAACCCCAGATCCTATTATAAGCCACAGGATGCTAACCCTGAACCCTACGTCCTACGACAATAAGCTGTAGGATGCTTTCACCTTACCCTAAACCCATAGGCCCCATAGTAGTTCCTTTTGGGAACATATATAGAATCCGATAAGGTAACCCCAAAAAGGAACTACTATGGGGCCTATGGGTACCCTAAGCCCTACTATGAGCCATAAGATGCTAGGCTCAGAACCAAACTTTACCATAAGCCATAACCCTAAACCCTAAACCCTAAACCCATAAGATGCTGTAAGTAAGACGTCGTGCCGGCAGGCCCAAAACCGGCCATAGAACATCAGCTCTCCAATCCGAGCTCGGTTGGGGACGACGTTGCTTTCCTGGGAAGCTTCAAATTCGGGTTGGGGTTTAGGGGTTTAGGCTTTGGGTTGTGCAAGCGGTGGCCTGTGACACGCGGTTTCTATGGGATGCCTTGTCTAGTGTGGGCGTTAGAGAACGCAGGCCTTGCAGGTTTGGGTAATATAGGGGCCTTAACCATTAGAATAGGGTTTGGGTATTTACTATGACTCGAACAAGGAACCCCCGAAACCCTGTTCTAATTATTAAGCCTCAATAACTCCAATAAGGAACCCCCAAAACCCTATTCTAACTATTAAGTATTAACGCCCCTATAACAAGGTTTGGGGCGGATGAGGATTTGAGGAAATGCCCGAAATCGTCCAGATGCACACCCTGGTCTCGAGACCTCAATCTCCAATTCTAAACCCCAAATCCCGAAACCCCTAACCCTGAACTAAACCCTGGACCCCTAAACCCTAAACCCTAAAACCCCTAAACCCTACATCGAATCCCAGGCTCGCAAATGTAAGGGTCCCATCCCGGACACGGCGTGGCATCGCCACGGAAGCCCAAGACATCAAATTCCTCCCAAGGGTTTCCAGCTTCAGGGTGTATAATGTAGGGGCTTTAATAAGTAGAATAGGGTTTTGAGGGTGCCTTATTATAGGTTATAGTATAATATACCCCAAAACCCTATTCTAATTGTTAAGGCCCCTATATTATTCTGATTGGGCTTCTGCTGGTCGATCGGGAATACCCGCTTTCCTAGGCTCAGTAACAAGCTTGATTAAGGGCTAAACCTTCCTTGCAATAGAGCATGTGCGCCTGAAGACGAGACAAGACAAACTCAAAAGAGGAGCTTGCAGGTGATTTGCAACACTGCCAGCCCTACCATCATACGTGCAGGCTATATTGGTGCACTTTCTGCTCTGTTGCGACGGGGCCCGCAATTTCATTGAGCCATAGTCCTGAAACGTATAAACATTGAAACCAGAATCGAGAAGCCCGGATTGAGCCACTCAGGTCCCAGCCCTAACCCTTGCCCTAAAGCCTAAACCTCTTGAATCCCAAAGGCGAAATCCAACACCCTGCTCGGGGTTTTCCGGTTTAGGGTTAAGGGCCAGTTTAGGGTCCCTTGTGGGTTTGGTTTTAGTTGGAAAGTGTGTCCGACCACATCCCGCACCCTCAAGCAGGCACCTGAAAATCAAACCCAACCCAAAACAAAAAACCCTAAACAGTAAACTCCTGAACCCAAAAACCCTAAACACTAAACTCCTAAAACCCTAAACCTTAAACACTAAACTACTAAACACTAAACTCCTAAAACTCCAGACCGGCAAGTCAATAACTTACTAACCTGAACCCTGGACTCTCTGACCCTACAGACCCCGTGCACCTATAAACTCCCGAGAGTTTGAGTTTTTGTGGTTGATCTCCTGATATAACATTACGCCTTAAAAAAGGTAGGTAAAAGCTAGTATAATCTAGAATCGTATAATTATATGTTCTAGACTGGTATTAAAATATGTTCTAGAATAGTATAATTAGATGTTCTAGAATAGTATAATATGTTCTCGAATAGTATAATTATATGTGTTTTCTGGGGGTCCAGGTGGGATATCAAAGCCGCAGGAATGCCTGGAAGCTGGTCCCCAGCGCATAGGAACGCCCAAACTCCTCGATGCGGACATGTCGCCAGACCCTGCAGGCTAGGACCGGGGGTGTGAGGGTTTAGGGTTTAGGGTTTTGGGGTTTAGGCTTAAGGGTTTTGGGGTTTAAGTTTAGGTTTTAGGGGTTTAGGGTTGAGGGTTTTAGGGCTAGGGCAGGGAATCTGGGGGCTTACGGGGCATGGCGACTTTGAGGCTTTTTTTGGAACCCAGACTCTGCCAATCAGCAAACCCTCAACCCTACGGAAACCCTAAACCCTAAACCCTAAACCCTAAACCCTAAATCCTAAACCCAAGGTTCGGAGACTTTATGGTCCTATGGTCTAACGGGTTCTTGGATTGAGCGTTTGGGGCCCCCATCTGGAAGTGAGGTCGTTGAGGTTTTGGGTGGTAGGAGATTTCGGCAGACGGGGTAGGAGGCTTTCTAGTCTCCCCGCCATAAAGCTCAAAATCCACAAACATCCCGGAACCTGCACCCCAAAGCTTAAGCTCTAGGTCCCCCTACCGCAAATTCTGGACTGAGTATGCCTGATTTTAAGGCTCCGGGTTCCGGGCATACCGTAAGCCACCTGCCCCACAGCAAACGTGAGATGCGGGCTTATACTACAAATAAGAAGCTGTCTTGAGCGACTGCTTGCGTTGATGCCTACAAACAATACGTAAACGAGCATGTACGTAAGTAACGTCTTGGGGTTACACATGTTGGAATCGACAGAACATGAATCCTGAGGATAAGGTCGAAGGTCATACGGGATCAGGGCAGGGAGCATGGCCCTTAGCTGTTAGCTGGTTTTCCCAGGGGCCGTGTTAGACTAGAACCCAAAGTACACACTCTGACTACAACTATATGGGAGTTTCCGAAAATAGGGGACCCTAATATAGTACCCTAAATAATAGGATCCTTATTATAAGGACCCCAAAATAAGGTACCCCAATTTTCGGAAACTCCTATATGGGAACATGGTAGGGCAATTTCTAGAGCTGACACCAAAGCAAAGCTTTCAGGCAGGCCCTGAAGGGGTTGGATGTAGCAGCCACAGCATAAAAGATAGTAACAGCAACAAGATGCCATATCACACACACACACACATATATATATATATATATATATCGTTACCAATAGGAAATAATAGATAACACACTCTCTGTATGTATATATTAGATGTATATGTATGATATGATGACATGTTTTATATCGTACGAGATAAGGTTTGAGGCGGCCTCGGGTCGGATGTGCCAGAAAGGACCTGAGACCTAAAGCATGGAAAGCTCCCGATCCTGTATGCCCTTTTTTGCATCAGGACTTGTGCAATCACCTGAAGGTCTGAGCATACGGAGGAAAGCCCGAAACCCTAAAGCAGAAGCATCCTTGGTATGGTTCGGTGTTTGCTTGTGCTGTAATTGCTGGTTGCCTTGGCAGTTTAACTTAACGTTTTGACAAACATCATAAAACCCGGGATGGCTCATTTTTGCTCCCATGGAAAAGGTACCTACACCCGGAACCCTGCAGAACCTTGAAACCCGAAACCCCAAAACCCCGAACCCCCAATCAGAAACCCCATAAATAAAACGCACCAGACACACTTAGCCGCCCTAACAACCAACAGCGGTGCCTCGTCCAAAAGATTGCAGACATCTCATGCGAGTCAAAGGGAAAAGTGTGCCTCAGGAACAGTGTGGAGTTCAAGACAATGTTGACAACAAGGACCCTGATATAATCGTGGGACATCCTTAACCCGAAACCATATCCGTCCCAGATGGTCTATCATCCTAACTCCGCCACACAGAAAGTGCCAACACATGCTATGTTACCGGCAACCGCGGAGGAGTTGCTGGAAAGTCTTGAAAGTGTTGGTTTCACAGCAGGCTGCGGATCTTGCTTTTTATTCCGTCGCACAGCCCATCTGTCTG